GTTTACAAAATTGTCATTTTAATAAATGTATTTACATTGTTTAGGTATATAGTAATATTAAAAAGATTGTTTTCATATAATTTTAATATATTTCTAATATTATATAATAAATGCCAAATTATAGTAAAACAATGTTATKTTTATGTATTATTAAAAAGTAGTTCTTAATTTTAGGTAGGTTTGCCCCGGGGCGCAAAAAATCTTAATCCGGCCCTGCATGAATATAATATACAGCACACTCCGTGCGCACGGTTATTATACAGTCTGACRGTCTTCATTGATCCAAATATGAAAAAAATTGTGAATGAAAATTAAGTTATTAAATTATGGAATATTATTTCACATGTTGATGTTTGGTAATACAATTTATGGAAGAATATAATACACTTCATTATATCGGGTAATGATATYGATATAATTCAAGAAGATCAGATAATATATCGTTATTTTTAACTATAGCTAACTATAGCTAATTATTTTTAAATCAAAATAACTATCATAATAAGTAAACATAAGACATTATATTATACTACATTATAAATATTAAACTTTACTCGGTTTCGTTAAAATCTGTTTTGTGTAAAATTTATCGTTTGTATTCTTAATTTTTTTTCTMCACTATTTTTAAAAATACTGGGAGTTTTTAATTTGACTTTTTAAAAGTAACAACTATATCTAATCTTCTATATTCCTCAAAGTTWAAAATCAAAGTATTTTTTCTTCCACTTTTTGTGTATATGTATACAAACACGGAAAAAATCATACGCAGCTTTGTAAATCTATAAATTCTTAAGCCTCCGTTCAGGACCTAAAAAATATTTATTAAAAACTAAATAACGGTTTACTGACCGTTTGAGAAGTATGCTAAATTATGAATATGTTCATGTAGCCTTGTAATATTATATTAAGTATTTAGGTGTATTAAATGTATTAGTATTAACTATTAGTTGCAGTCAAATACAGACTAACAATAATGCAACTCACCGGGCTTTGTGATGTTAGTAAACTGTTGCACAATTTGGTCATCAGTATTGCTGATGGAGCACATATACTGTCCATAGTCAGTCTCTTGAATTTTGTTTATGAAGAGGAATGCTCCCAATACTTGGTCATTTTCCCTGTGAGAAAAAAAAACATATAAACATTAAAAACCACGTATAATTTCTGTGAATATGCAGTTTGTTGATTTTGATTTTAATTATGATGTCTAATATTATATTATGATACCTAATCACTTCTTCTATTTTGTATTTTTCGTTTGAAACAATTGGCTGTTTATCACTGATTTTCCTCCAAGTTATCGTGTTGACGGCATCTGGAAGACCGACTTTACCTGCACCCATTGCAATTCAGAATTTATTTAATTATTTTTGTCACGATTAATTATAAACATAAATTAAACTAGTATGTTGTATAATACAGGGTGATTCTTCTATCAAACAACACTCATTATTTCAAAAACTATTGACTTTTTTCAAATTTTTTTTTTTCAAAATTGTAKATCCATCTTGTTCTAGAACTATATATTTTTTAAATTTTTTCACCCTTATATTTATTAGGTAAACCATTATCAACTTTTGATTTTTAAATGACAACCTATACTTAAAATTTCATAAACTAAAAAAGCTATTTTTTTCAATGAATTTTCACGTTTAAATTTTCATTTTTCGTTAATCCGTTTACAAGATATAGCCAGTGACGGTTTTTAGGGGCGGGGGGCGAAGGGGGCGCTTGCCCCCCTTGGATTTTTTGTGTCAACTGTTATGTTCTGTAAGTTATATATGCATATATACATAAGTTATATATGCAACTATTATGGAGGGTGAGGGGCACAAAAATTGAAAATAGTCCCCCCCCTTGATGGTTTATCAAAACCGCCACTGGATATAGCCTCCCAAAGTTGG